TGGAGTCTTAGATTGTATGTTGACAATGAGTTTTACATATAAAAATACTTCATATATATTTCATAATCATCATATTTATGAAAAATGTAAAAATTATTTTGTAAAATATTCATATAGTAGTTTCATTAATGAGTAGTAAATATTATTATTTACTACTCATCATTTTAATTCTGTAAAGATGGACATATTAAATCTTGATGCATTATTTGAAATCTTTTCTTATTTGATACCAAAAGAACAAGTACGAATTGCTTGAACATGTAAAAAATTTCAATTTGTTTTATTAAAGTATGGTAACTATTTAGTTAATCTAAACAAGCATGGATTTTTTGGATATCTTGGAGATTTAGAAATCAGCACATACAAAGTAATAATTGTTAAAAATGATTTTATTACATTTTTTCATGATTTGGAAAAGAGAAAGATCTATCAAGATGAGGAAGGAGTTCCTTATTATAGAAGTTTAATAGGAATTGGATTTATTTACCAATATGATCTTGATAAATTAGATAAATTATTCAAAAAGAATTGTGAATATTGTCAGAAGCTCGAATATTGTGTAAATAATTATGAGACTAAGAATTGTAAGATCTGTGATAAAGAAGATTTTGAATTATGTATAAATTGTGAGAAATTCGATACTTCTCATAATTCTGGTTTGTGTAAAACTTGTACATAGCCAAAGAATTTTCATTCACATGAAATATGTAAATTTTGTTTCAAGATCAAATATCCAAACATGATTAATAAGCAGTTTAAAAAACTAGAAGTAAATTCTTATGATATACCACGGACTAAACTTAAAGATGTACCTATACTTGTTGGTAGATTAACATTTTTACGTAATCCTTTTAAGTAAAAATCTTTTATTTGTTAGTTAAAAATATAACCAACAAAGAATTTTGTTATTTAAAAAATAGAAAAGCTATTTAATCAAGCATACGAAATCTATTTGAATACACAATGGGAAGGAGGTTATAATTATGATGTGAAGCAAAAGTTAAGAACATTTTTACAGAGAAATTGTATCACATACTTATCATTTTTAAAATATTGCAAATATTCAAAAAAAGATTTTAGAAAATTCATGATAGTTGAAAATAATATTGGTGTTTGTAGAAAAAGTTATAATCTTTGTAAAAA